AAGCAGGTAGATGCTGGAGGTGGCCACACCTGCCCGCTCACTCCTGTTTCCGGAAGCCGAGAACTTGCACAGACCCCCGCCTCGCTCTAGGGAACTAACTGCTGGGCCCTCCGAGTCAGGGAGCTCCCTGACTCCTCCCGCCCAGCTCGTCCTCTTGTCGGCTGGGAGCTAGAGCCCAGACAGGGCCTCCGTCGGCTCGCCTGCCCGGAGCTGTGGTGACGGTCCACCCAGGAAGGCCCCTTGCCCTCCAGACCCTTCCTTGCACATGCGTGATGTTCTGATGGGGCTGAATCACACTCCCTCTGCACACCTGGGCACAAAGCCCCTCGCCCCGATGGCTGAAGGAGGAGTCCCAGCTGGGGACCCAGGTGGGGGTCTCAGGGAGGCTGGGAAATTGGGGGCCAGATGCTTCTCTGCTTCCTGTCTGTGTGACCCTGCCTCGCTGCGCCCCAGTTTCCTCACCCAGGGACGGCCTGAGCAACCGGAGGGATAGGGGAAGACGGGCTTGGGTCAAACCAGGAATTCAGTTTAAACGTCCTGAGTCAGAGATGTCAAGAGGCATCTGGAAATACAAGTCTGGAGCTGAGGAGAGAGGTCTAAGCTGGAGATTATGAATGTGGGTGTCATCAGCAAAGAAACAATTTAAAACTCTAAAACCCAGGGAGGTGAGATTGCCTGCGGGGGGGGGGGGGCGGGGGAGTGGGAGAGGTAATGCAGGCGCGTGTGCATTAGCCCCTGTCCTCCTCGCAACTAACTCCCCTGCCCGCTTCTCGTACTTTCCTCCTGAATCAGTGGTGAGGCGGAGGGAAGGGAGGGGTGAGGTCAAGGGCTAACCAGCCCAGAGCCTGGCAGGGACAAATCCACTGAATCTGGGGACCCTCTGACCTGGGGACCGTTTTCATCATCCCCATTTGGCAGATGAGGAAAGTGAGGCACAGGGAGTTTAGGTGACGTGGCCCAATCTCTTTCCAGCAGAAAGCATCCCGGGGTGGGTGGGCGGGTCACGTCGAGCCCCTCTGTTCTCACAAGGGATTTGGTTTCTTTGCAGTCAGGGCTGCTTAGCGGGCAGAGAGCAGGCTTACTCACAGGGCCTCCCCGGAGAGGCCTGTCTGTATCCGCTGTGCCAACCTGCCCTGTGCCCAAAACATACCCCACGCCCCCGTTGGGCCGGTTGCTGTGGTGCTGGACGCATCTGTGGCTTCCCGGGGCAGTGGCTGGAAGGACACGCCGTCAGGAGAGGGAGCATGTTAGGCGGCCCGTTCCCACCTGGGGGCCCAGATCTAGAGGCCTGGAGGCTGCGACTTGCGTTCCCAAAGCTGTTTCTGGTATTTCAGAAAGGCTGCGCGGGTGACTTAAAAGGTCGAATTCTCTTGCTTTTCAGCTCCACTGGCCACGGCGGTCGATCGGAACTTCTACGGGCTGCAT